CATAGTCATGCATGAATTCAATTTTTTAGAAGCAGGGGGACGGGAAATAGAAGGCTGCGTGGAATGGAGGAAGGATCAATCGAAAGGGGTAGAAGAAACAGAGTAAACTAAAAAAAGATGACCAAATGAATGAAGTCATAAAAGGAATATTTTTCTAGGAGCAGTAAAAGTGAAGGAGCAAGAACAGATTGAAATGAAGTACATATTAGCTGTTTGTCAATTAGGTGTTGGATGTTGTTGATTCTGTTGACTGTTTTGATTAGCAGATAATATTAACAATTTATAAAAGAGTGTTTGGTTAAATAGTTGTTTACAATCAGCTGATAAATTGTTAAATGACTTTTAAGGACATCAATAATTTCTTTGTTTGCCAACTATACACTATATACATATCATATAGTCCGTTCATTTCAACCATGTTACTTTTACAAGTAATTACACCATTTTTGTTTAATAAAAAACAATTTATGTAATACAAGTAACAATTCTGTAAAACATGATTTTTCATTCTTCTCACAACATGGCAGAATATATAGTGGAGATTGTTGCTTTGAAAATGAGCAAATCGAGAGGGCATTGTTAGATTATTGGACTCATACTACATATACTATTCACAATATATTATTTATCGGGTTTAATTGTATGTTATATGCTATCTTATATTTAGGCCCAAAAATTAGTGGTCTTATGGATATTAATTTAAGTGGGCTAATATGTTATCTAATAAGGTATTGGACCAAATGTGTAGAGACCCATGAGTTTAACCTAATTAATGATGGGCTGATTAGGGTTAAGCATTCTCTATAAATAGAGGGGTTATGATCCTAGTTGAACACGTCATTCCGTCTTTCTGCATCCCATCGCTAGAGAGATAATCCTGAGGGTGTGTATCAACTAGAAGACGCAAACCCTAGCCTTCGTCTCCCGGATCTCTAAAGGTCATCTCCAATAGAGTCAGGTACGCTTCTATTCAGTTAATTCTCCAGATAATTTCAATATGAAGATTAAAGTATTATCGGATTTATTCCAACAATTGGTATCAGAGACTCTTTCATATTGAATTATTTGGAGTGAGACCATTAAATTTGTAATCGGATGTTTTATCCTTTTTTTCTCTGAATCGTATTTATACGATTGGGTTTTGGTATGTGTCCTTTTCAACCTATAATCTGCCAATTCAGTTTTATTTTTGTGATTTGTGAATCGATTGGCATTAGTTGGAATATCTGTATTTTTTTATCGATATTTTGTTGGTTGATATTGCTAATATGCCGATTAAGGATACTGTGTTTTGTTGTTTCCTTCCTATGTTGCTGGGTTTTGAGATCGTAGTGGAACATACTTATTTTTCTTCTTCTTTTGTTTTGGGTTAATCTTACAATTGCCGATTGGTTATTTCGTTAAAGTGATTCAATGTTATTTTTTATTAATTGATTATGAAATATTGAGAATCATGAATAGCCCCTTTAATTTGAATGGGTGTTCACATATGTAAATTGGCAAATTGGTGTTGATATACATAAGAAAGACAACTTTAACATTGGCAAATTGATATTGATATACATACGAAATTGGCAAATTTATTTTTGGTCTTTGACGTACTATTGCTTTCCAAATTTGGGTGTTTCAATTTTGGAATTTTCTATGACTTTGGTAATTAAGTACATACCGAGTATGTGATTATTACCGATTTTGATAATTAAATACTTATATGTAATCACGGTCAATATCAATTTTATCATAAATGCATAATTTTGGTATTGTTGGAATTGATTATTTTGTTGGTCAATGTGATTTGTGGATGAAAAATATGTAGTATGTGTTATGGATATATAAACCCTATTTTGCGATCGCACAACGATTGGGTACGGGTTTTACAAAGTATTGTTATACATAACACATTTGCATGTGATTGAGAAAAATTTGCCCAATTTTATTTTTCAGTTTTGATTTAATATTAGCATGTCTAATATTTGGGTTGGTTAATCGACACAACATGCTGCCAAAGTAGCCTCTCTTGTTGAAATTAATTAACTCGTATATTAAGATTGTTGATGGATAGTCTACCCGGGGGTATATATCCGAAGGGTTATTACGGGGAGTAACTTAGAGAGAAGTCAGAGCAAGTAAATATAGAGAGAGAGAGTGTATTATAAATGTGGAACGTTTTCAGCGTCGTTACAAATGGGGAAATGGGGTGCTATTTATAGTAGCAATAAATGCCGGGCAGGGACACGTGTCAAGCGCTCATTGGCCGAGGGGTCACCTCAACTGGTTGGCGCTGGCAGCCGCATGTGGCCGCATTTAATGCGGCTGTTGGATGGGACGTCCGTGCAGAGTACGGTGATCTGTACGCATGTGAGGCGGATATCTTGTCGAGTGAGATGGCTTCGGCTATAGAGCAGTAGCCGAGGGCTCTTCCTCCCGATGGCACCCCTGGTGCCGATGGCTCACAGTGCCGAGGGCTGCTGTTTTTGCCGTTTTCTCCCAGTTTCTTAGTTTGCTTGAGAAACCCGCTCTGTGATAATTCGGAGCCTTCGACCAGGGGGCCGAAGGCACCCCTGTGCGTTGTGCGGACTGCTTGGTACTCTGGGCGCTGTGATTTGGGCCTGTTGGGCCTGTTGGGCCTTTGGTGGAGTAGTAGGAGTCTGTGGGCCGGGGGTTCCCGGGCCATATACTCCATCAGGAGTCCCTCACTCCTTTTGCCGAAAGGTACTTGAGGGAAAAGGAGTAATTTGTGCTTGCCTTTTGATGTTGTCCTGTCGTGATCCCTGAAGTTGGTGAGGAGTTGTTGCTTTTATGTCCCTGCCGAAGGCAGTCCCTCAGTTACCCACATGTCGGGACTTGAGGGCTTGCTTTGTTGTTTGTTGGAATTTCACAGATTTTGTAATTTAATGATCTTCCCGAAGGGGTCCTCCAGTCCCCCACTCCTTGAGGCACTTGTAAAGTGGTGAAAAGGAGTGAAGTAGTTACATTGCTGTTGTGGGCCGAAGGCTGACGCTTTTCGTTTCATTTTGGGGGGATGCCTCGTTAAAAACCTTATTAGGAAAAAACCCTTTGGGAAAAAATCCTAATGAGGGAAAAAGAGTGCACCGAATTCCCCCAATGATGAATCGAAAATGTCAAACCTTGGTAACAAATGGAGAATGGCGGGAATGCCGAAGGCTCTCTCTTCTGAGGGCTCCTGTGTTGATCAGCCGAAGGCTTGCTGTTGATATCCTGGTGGCGCCGAAGGGGAGCCCCTCAATCCAGGGATCGAGGGCCTGCCAGATGAGGGCAGCAGTGAAGCTGTTACCGGGGGGTCCACTGTTTGTTGATGAGGTGGTGATGAAGGTACCCGAGGGCCATGGGCCATCCATCAATGAGGCACTCCCCGGGGGCTACCCGGTTTTGCAGTGCTGAGGGGAAAACCCCGAGAGGTGCCCTGATATGCAACCCTAGGGATCTGAAGGAGTGATCCCGAAGGCGTGTGTAATGTGCCGTGTGGGGCACAACCCGGGGGCGCTTCTGGGTGAGTGCACCCGGAGGCTATCCTTGACGAAGTGGAGTGAAGTAGAAAGCCCGGGGGCTTCCAAAATATAGCCGTTGGAAATATAGCCGTTGGAATATGTAACGACGGGATATAGCCGTTGGGGGGGGTGGCACACGTGGCGTGTGATGGCTGGTTGTCCGTGGGCGGCGTCACCGGTTGGGTGAAACGGCGGTGTGTCATGATGGCGTCCATCCGGAGGCCCGGAATCCAGGCCCAAGCCCGGATTCATCGCCTATAAATACCCCAAGGCCGGGCATTCCTCTGTGTGCGAAAAACTTGTTAGCGAAGCTCTGCCAATTTTTCTAGAGAGAGAAACAGCAGCCCCCGGTTGAATCCTCTGTTCTTAAGGTCAGTTCTCCAGTTACCCTTCACCTCTTAGCTACCTGTACTGCGCCCCTAGGCTAGGAGATAGAACATTTAGAAAACACTAGTTGTACGAGCCTTCGAACTAGAGCGTGAATGTCGTCCGAGAGTGATTCTCAAGATATCTCGAGGACGCCCTCGATGGAGGACGAAGGCATATCTGACGTGGAGTCAAGCAGTGGTCAACCCTCGGATGGTGGTGATGCGGCCCTGGCCCGGGAGGTCCAGAAGGAACTCACTGCGGAGGTTGAAGCCGAGGGCTTCGAGCAGGAGTGCGATGATGAAGACTTAGCCCTCGCCTGGCAGACAGCGGAGGATGAGGCACAGAATGAGAGCTCGAAGGTTACGATTGCTGTTCTCCCCCCTCGGGGTTCCGGGGAGGCCAGTAGCTCGAGGCCGTTGGATCTGATACCTCTGAGGGCGGTTTCCGGTGTGAAGAAGAAGAAGGCCGCTACCAAGAAGAAGGAGAGGGCCGTCGATCAAGGAAAGCCCGTGGACATGCCCGAGGGGTATAGTTGGCTGAACACTGAGGCCCTCGAGATCAGGTCGAAGGCTGACAGGGCAGATCTGTACGTGACTCAGCTGCACGTGGGGCCCTCGGCCGAAGTGGTGGAGCCAGGTCCCGACGACGTGTTGTCCAGGGCGCCCGAGGGGTGTATCGCTATTCACGTCCTTTCGGTTTCCATGGGACTTAGGTTCCCTCTGCACCCATTCCTCCGGGAATATTTGCGGTTTGTTGGCTTGGTCCCCTGCCAACTCACGCCCAACAGCCACTCCTACATTGCGGGGTTCCTCCAGCTCTGCAAGTCCCGAGGGGTGAAGCCCAGCCTGGATCTATTCTTCCAGAGTTTTAATCTGTGCCGGGGGGGCACGAAAACGGCGAGGGGTACGCTAACCTGCAGCAGATTGCCCGCTTCAAATTATTCTCCGATGCTCCTTCTTCCAACAAAGGATGGAGGGAACGTTGGTGCTACGTGAAGTTGGATGAGAGCCCATTCCCGAGGGAGCTACGTGACCGATTTCGAAGGCACGAAAAGATCAGGAGTGCCGCTCTCGAGAAAGACGGCCTAAAGCTGGCCAAGTTCCCGGAGGGGAAAAACAAGAACGTGGCGATCAAAGACTGCACCCTCGAGGAGGATTTATACACCCTCGGGTTCCGGAGGTACCGCTTCATAGGGGAGACCGATGAAAAGTACCCTCCCTTCAACAAGGCCTTCGGAGGGGCCGGAGGTAGGAGCCGAGGGCTTTAGAATTTTGTACTTAGTTTTTTTTTCTTTGCTTGGATGTTATCGTCCCTTCGCTTAGACCCGTCGGACTAACCCTTTGTCTCCTTTGTGCAGGTATCCCCGTCTCTATGGTGAATGTAAAGGGCCTAGCCCGTTTGAAGAAACAGGACCCGAAGGGGTCGGGACAGGGCGTCCAGAAGCCCGCTACTGCCCTCTTTAAGAAAGCCGAGGGCGATGCCGCTGCCGGTAAGAGGAAGGCAGTGACCAAGGGGTCCCCCCGGCTACCAAGAAGCCGAAGAAGGGGGATGTCGCCGAGAAGGAGCCCCCGGTCATTATTGCTGATGAGCGCCCCACCTCCGGGGTGCAGGTGGAGAAGCTGCCGGGTGGAACGCCGGCGGGGGCAGAGGAGTCGCTGCCTGAGATCCTCACAGTTGCGTTCCCGAGGGGTATGTCTTTGGCCAGCGGCGCCGTCGACCCGGGGGCCATCCTGAGGGGTATGACCCTGAGACGGATAGGGCTGCCCTCGGGGCCTACAATGATGCGGCCCTCGAGGACCACATTCTCCGCTCCTCCCTCTCTGTAAGTGTTTACCTGGCTTTCTCCATCTTCTCCTTTGATTATTTTTGTGTGATTGCCTTTAACTGTTTTTGTTGTTGTTCTGCAGGCTTGTTTAGCCCTCGGCGAACAGGCTCGGAGGCTTCAAGAATGGCGCCTCCACAGAGCGGAGCAGGACGCCAGAATGAGGGAGTGCCTCCTCAAGAACCAAGAGGCGGTGAAGCTGGGGGCCCAGCTAGAAGAGGAGCTCCGGCAGATGAGCTTGAAACTGGAGGCTGCAGAGAAAGGCAAGGCTGATGCTGAGGCCGCTGCCAGGAGAGCTGCTAAAGAGGCCGAGGACTCCAAAGCGCTAGCTGTCGCCAAGGCTCAGGAGGAGGCCGTTGAGGCCTTTGTCGCCGAGGGTTGGAGAGCCGAGGGGCGCAAGATGTGGGTGTCCTCGGTCGTGGAGGCCTGCGTTGAAGAATGGGCTGAGGGCCCTGGGTGGGAATGGATGGCCCGGAAGGGCAGAGAGTACTATGAAGCCGGCGAATTCTTCACCCAGGCCCTCATCTACCGGAGGATGGCCCGGCATTTGGGCATTGAGCAAAAGGACTTCTCCCCCTCGGCGTATGGCCTTCCTCCCTTGCAGCCTGATGTTCGTGAGCCGCTCCCGGAAGGTGTTCAGAGGCCCGACCTTGAGGACACGGTGTTGAAGAATGAGGCCGAGGACGACGCTGTCGAGACCGGAGCGGAGGCATCATCGAGGCCGGCTGTAGAGGGCGCCCCAGTGAACGATGCTGTCGTAGTTGTGGAATGATTTTGTACTTAGAAATCTTTGAACCTCTTTTGTAATGAACAACATTGTTCCTTCGGCTTCGGCCCGTTTGTAAATTCACACTTACTCTTGTTTTTGATGAAATGCATGCTGCCTCCAGGCTTTTCATATTCGAATACGCCTTATGTTTTGAATGTATGCCTTCTCCTTTGAATGTATGCCCTCGGTATTTCTGAATGTATGTCTAGGACTTAGAATACTATCTGATTGTAGCTAGCCCTTAGGAGCCTTCGGTAGTTGGGCAACCCTCTGCTGGATATGCAACCGATGGTTCGGCAGCAATTAGGACTTAGAAGATTTCTTCTAAGTGTAGTACAGCATGAGGCCTTCGGGCGTTTGTAGTAACCCACCTCCTAGGATTTAGAAAAATCTCTAAGTGTAGATTCCCCCTTGAGAGCCTTCAGGATACGGCGCCCATTCCTGATGTGTGAATGTTGGACCGAGGGCCCAATGCACATGACTTAGAGATTTTTGCAAGTGCAGTATGTCGTGTAGCCTTCGGCTACTGTGGAGCCCCACCTGTAATATCGAATAGGCCGGGGGCTAATTCTTTCAGGACTTAGAAGATTTTCTTGAGTGTTGATTCCTTGTGAACTGTAGCCCTCGATTGATAGGTAGCCTTCGGCAATTAGGTCCCTTGAGATGAGGGTGAAATATGTAGGACTTAGAAAATATTCTAAGTGTAAAATCCCCCTTGGGAGCCTTCGGTAGATGGCATCCCTCCCTGATGTAAGAGTAGTTGACCGGGGGGAAATACATGTAGGACTTAGAAAATATTCTAAGTGTAAGATCCCCCTTGGGAGCCTTCGGTAGATGGCATCTCTCCTTGATGTAAGAGTAGTTGACCGGGGAAAACATGTAGGACTTAGAAAATATTCTAAGTGTAAAATCCCCCTTGGGAGCCTTCGGTAGATGGCATCTCTCCTTGATGTAAGAGTAGTTGACCGGGGGGGGGGGGGGGGGGGGGGAATACATGTAGGACTTAGAAAATATTCTAAGTGTGAATTTTCCCTTGGGTGCCTTCGGGTGATAGGTGCCCTCTGATTCCACATCACTTTGCGAGATGCCCGGGGGCTACTCGTTTAGGACAGAATACCTCCCCTTTTTTTTTAATGTTGTTGTATTGCACGGCCTTCGGTCACCATATTCCCTTGGCTGTAATATTGATTGGGCCGGGGGCCCAATCTTTAAGACTTAGAATTTTTTTTTAAGTGTTGCTTCCCTGTGTAGCCTTCGGGTGCCCGGGGGCTGCTCCTTCAGGACTTAGAATTTTTCTAAGCATAAATTGATGTTGAATCCTGTTGTTGTGAAGAAAGCCAATGAGGAGTGTGTGCCCTCGGCATACACTTTAAAAGTTGTAGAATTTGACCCTTGTCATGGGGAAAGAGCCCTCGGTATTTGTGCATAACAGATGCCTTCGGTGTTTGTTTGAAGTACCGTTTAGTGGAGCTTGGATAGTCCAGTCCCTTTGTATTGTTGAAGCCCTCGGTGTTGCCTGATGATATTCCCTTGAGTAGTATCCTTCGGGAAATAGGAGTCTTCAATTACCGGAGGTGTTCCCGTGGGGAGCCCTCGGCATATTGTGATTTTGTTGGAGTGTACTCTTTGATTTCTCGCTGAGTCTACTCCCCTTCACCCCCCTTTTTTTTTTTTTTGGTTGGTGGTGAAGGGAAGGCATCAAGAAACTTGGTTTCTTGGTAAGGCTGGGCCTATTAGGAGACCATCAGAATACACCAATGGCTCTCCTCCCTCGGGTTAACCTCCCGAGTGCCGAGGGGATCGAGGGACGTTTCCTGGGCACAAGATATGGTGGTCCGTAACCTGCCTCCCCTTGGGGGATGGCGCGGAAAGCGCCTCATTTTTGAAAGTCGTCCCCTCGGCGCTAGACATAGTCTGTGGCCTGCCACACCCTTGGGGTGGTGGCGCGGGGAGCGTTTCGGTTTGGAAGTCGAATCCTGGGCATTTCTCATGCCTGTCATACCCTGGGGGTAATGACGCGGATAGCGTTCCGTTTTTGAAAGTCGAATCCTGGGCATTTCTCATGCCTGTCATACCCTGGGGGTAGTGATGCGGAAAGCGTTTCAAGGAAGGGTTTTCATTTGCACGCTAGTTGCAAATGGCCGGGGGCACTACGTGCCGCCGACACCGATGGTGGCGCCTTCGGTATATGCGTCCTCGTGGGGTACGGCTTTTAGAAACAACACTTGGTGTTAGTTTCGATGTGTAGCCCCCGGTACTTGGTACCGAGGGGTCTTCTGTAGGAACACTTGGTGTTCTCCTTTGTTGCAGTTGATGGAGGTGTCTACCCTCGGTACTTGGTACCGAAGGGCCTTCAAATGAAACACTTGGTGTTTCCCAATAGATGTTTGGAAGCTGTTAGGAGAGCATATCCCTGGCACTGGGTGCCTAGGGGTCTTCTTTGAAACACTTGGTGTTTTTTCTTCGTTTCGATATTTGATGAGGGAGGTGTACCCTCGGCACTGGGTGCCGAAGGGTCTTCTGTAGGAACACCTGGTGTTCTAATCTTTTCTTTTTTGATGTTGAAGGTGGGGAAGTACCCTCGGCACTGGGTGCCGAGGGGTCTTGGCTGAAAACACGTGGTGTTTCTACTGTTTGTTGTAGGTGTTGATGGTGTCCGCCCTCGGCACTGGGTACCGGAGGGGGTTCTTCTTGTGGTGAGGCCTGGGCCTGTAGTCAGTATGAGGGCTTGATGTCTTGAATGTATCTTCATTCTTCGAAATTGGAGGCCTTGGGCCATTGGATAGTACATTCACTAGTTATGAGGGCTTGGCCGCTCTTACATTATTGATAAAATTTAACTAAATGGTGTACATTCCAGTGCCTAGGGACCTCTTTCCCGTTGGGGCGTTTGAGTTTGTAAGTCCCGGGTTTGATGATGGCTGCTATGATGTAGGGGCCTTTGAATTTTGGTGCCATTTTTCCTCCCTCGGTTGGTTGGCTGGCTTCCCTCCTCCGGAGGACATAGTCCCCCACTTGAAATTCCCGGGTTCGAACTTTGGCGTCGATGTAGCTTTTAACTTGCCTTCGGTAGTTTTCTGCCCGGATGAAGGCCTGCTCCCGGCGTTCTGAAATGAGGTGCAGGTCGAGGGCCATGTTGCTGTCGTTGACCTCGGGGTCATATTGGATCACCCTTCGGGTAGGAAGGGTGACTTCCGTAGGAGCTTTGGCTTCAAAACCGTAGCAGAGGGAGAAGGGTGTTTCACCTGTAGCGCGCCGAGGGGTAGTGCGGTAGGCCCAGAGGATGTTGTGAAGTTCTTCCACCCAGCCACCACCCTCCGCCTCCAGCTTCTTTTTGAGGCCCTCGAGCAAGGTCCGGTTGGCGTTCTCTACCTGCCCGTTGCCTTGAGGGTAGGCAACGGAGGAGAAGGTGTGTTTGATGCCCCATGCCTCCAGAAGGGAACAGAAGGGGGCTGCCTCAAATTGTGTTCCATTGTCGGAGATGATCTGCTGGGGGACGCCAAACCTTGTCAGGATGTTCTTGAGGACGAAGTGACGGCACTTCGCCTCTGTGATGCTGGCGAGGGGTTCAGCCTCCACCCACTTGGTAAAATAGTCGACGGCCACAATGATGTATCTGTTGTTGGAGGTACCCCTCGGCAGAGGGCCCACAAGGTCTATCCCCCATCGAGAAAATGGGACAGATGTGCTGATGGGGGCATAGTTGACCGCTGGCCTGCCGGGGGCTTTCTGGAAATGTTGACATGCGGTGCACCTCCGGGCAAGGTCGGCACAATCCCTGGCCATGGTTGGCCAGAAGTAGCCCTGGAGAATGAGCCTTCGGGACATGGAGAAGGGTCCCTGGTGAGCTGAGCAAGTGCCACTGTGCACTTCCTCCATTGCGACCTCGGCTTCATCTGGATGAAGGCACCGAAGTAGCGTGCCATTGTAAGATCGTTTGTAGAACCTTCCATCTTCGATGGTGTAGCTGGGAGCCCTCAGCTTTGCCAGTTTAGCGCGGGCCTCATTCTCGGGTAGCTGCCCTGTGGAGATGAAGGCGGTGATATCTGAAATCCAATCCTCCTGACGTTGTTGTATGTTCATCACGGGGCTTGCATGGATGCTTGAGAGGCTGAGTTCCTCGATTTTGGCAATCTTGGAAATGTGCTTGGGGGAGTCTGCCGAGAGTTTAGATAATATGTCGGCCTCGGAGTTCTGAGCCCTCGGTATTTGAGTGAGAGAGTGTGCCTCAAATACCTTAAGCAACTCCTTGGCCGCTTCCTTGTACTGTTTCATTCTTCCTTCCTTGGCCTCATATTCTTCGGAGATTTGGCCAACGACCAACTTGGAGTCGCATTTGATGTGGATCTGCCGAGCCCTCATGTTGGCAGCCAGCCGAAGGCCACATAGGAGGGCTTCATATTCGGCCTCATTGTTGGAGACTTTGAAGGAGAAGCGGATTGCATAGTAGGCCCTGAAGCCCTCGGGAGTAATGAGGACTACCCCTCCCCCGCATGCTTTGGTCGCGGATGAGCCGTCAGTGTAGAGGGTCCACCAGTCGTCCGAGGTAGCCGAGGGCTCCCCGTCCGTGGCTGCCCTTGCGGTACATTCCGTCACAAAGTCCGCTAGGGCTTGGCCCTTGATGGCAGGCCTTGGACGGATGTCAATGTTGTATTGGCTCAAGAAGATAGCCCATTTAACCATGCGGGAGGAGCTGGTGGGGCTCCTCATGAGGGCGCCGAGGGGTTGATGAGTGAGGACCTGAACGGGGTGAGCCTGAAAGTAGTGGCCCAACTTCTTGACAGTCCAAACGATGGCCAACACCGTTTTTTCCACAGGGGAGTACCTGAGCTCGGCCTCCCTTAGGGTCTTGCTAACGTAGAAGATGGCATGTTGGATGTCGTCTTCCTCTCGGATGAGCACAGAGCTGATGGCTGCCGGGCTGACCCCAAGGTAGAGGTAGAGGGTCTCCCCTACCTTGGGTTTGGAGAGCACAGGGGGTGAAGATAGATATCTTTTTAGCTCGTCGAAAGCCCCCTGGCATT